TCCAGTTTATTTTATCTTTTGATAATTTGGTAATTCATGTAAAATAGTAAATATTAATTTTAATGTTTTAGTCAATGAATTATTTATTAACAAATATATGTTAAAATAGTTAAACAAATGTGTAAATATTTTATTATAAAAATAAAGTAATCATAAGTTGAATAATGATGCAATTTAGGTTATCAATGGAAGACGGTACGAGACGGAATTGATACAGTGTAAGCGAGGTTTTTGGAATGTCACCATTCAACAAATACAAAACTAAAAAGGCGTATTTGGTCAAATTCGGTCAAATAACGCACTAAACAAAAAAATGTTTTTGTTTGTCCTAACATATGACGCACATGAATTTATCTTCTACTATATTAAAACAGAGTCATTCTTTTTATCTAAATAACAATCATTTTGTTTTGATAAATTTCAATGGTAACTTTTAAATAATTTATTGTTTTATTTTTCTTAAATAATTTACTAATTAAAAAAATGTAAAGCAAAACCAAAAACCAAATCTAAAAACTAAAATCCAAAACCAAAAGATGAAAACACATGTTATATTTTTTTGCTTTGTTTATTTACAAAATAAACTATTTCAATTTTTTTTTAATTTGTTGTCATCTTTTCAGTTTTGAATTAGATGTTCGATTATTTGAGATTTGTTTGTTGGTAATATTAGTTCAAACTAACTTAGCGGGTTTAAAAATTAAAAACCCAAACCAAAAACTGAAAATGAAAAGTAGAAACTTAAAAACTAAAGACCAAAAACCAAAATCTAAAAATAAAAACTGAAACTAAAAACTAATGAAAAATAATCATCACCACAAATTTTGGTGAACTGATTTTGTATCAAAATATTCTTTAAACTAAGAGAAAACCCAATTATATAAATTTTTAATCATAAAAAATTTCCGCGCTTTCAAGCGCGGGTCAAAATCTAGTATATATTAAAATAGAAGTCATGATTTGATTGCATGTGTGATTTTTTTTTTAATATGGACTATTACTAGAAAGTTATGTTACATTAACTCTCTAATAATCTTATCATTATTATAGCTTATAATACGCTTAACAATTTGATTTTGGTAAATTACCCCACGCCTTCCAACTTAGTCACACAAAATATGTCAATAGATATAAGTTTAGGAATCTTCTATAATTTATAAGGAAATATGTCAATAATAGTTAAATGCATCCACAATATATTAACAAAAATCACAGATTAGTAATATGGAATATTTATATACCTTAACAAAATTTACACGCTATATATATTAGATAAATTTATTTCGATGTAAATTTTTAAAATTATATTGTTTTAAAAAAAAATTGTTTAAAAAAATCTTTTTTTTAAGAAAATTATTTATAATATTAATTTATCAAGCTATAAGTTTAGTTTTTAACAAAAAAAAATTCGAAGTTTATATTAACTTTGCAAATTAAAATACACTAATATTTAATCAAACTCTATTTATATTACTTTATCTGAAAATGAAATACTAATCTAACAAAAAATAAAATATAGAAGAAGAAACAAACACATGTATGAAAAACATGTATAATATAGAAAATTTGAAACAATCTATTTGATTAAAACACTCATTATATAATATTATTATGTTTGAAAAACATTTACTATACATATCGTAAATATGTGATTAATATAATATATACCAATTTACAAGTGAAAACAAATTGTTTATATAATTAACTATAAATGAAAACAAACACCCGCGCGGTTGCACGGATCAAAATCTAGTAATACGTTAATTTTGGTGTGGTCGAAGTGCGTTTTTCATCGTAGTGTTTATATTGCTTCATTATTCAACTTATGATTACTTTATTTTTATAAGAAAATATATTACAAATCTGTTTAACTATTTTAACATAGATTTGTTAAAAATAATTCGTTAACTAAAACATTAAAAGTAATATTTTATATTTTACGAGAAGGGAAAATGAGCTTTTAATTTCCAAACTATTTGTAATAGGCAATTTAAATACCTAAGTTTTACTTGCTTGATTTTATTTCCCAATTTAATATTGACTTAGCAAATTAAGGATCAAAAAAAGTCAACGTTTATAACTTCACGTATCCCATTAGTTTTATATCTTCTTGTTCTTCACGTGTCCCGTTAGTTTGCAACTTGAAAACCCTAAACACATAACTCCAGGCGTTTTCCGGTGAGAGGAAGAAGAAACCGGCACGCGTGATGAAGAACAAGAACCTTTGTCAAGCATCTGAACAAATATCTTCTGGTTTACAGATTTTGCTCTGTTTGAAAATTTGATTGATTGAGACTGAAATAGGTTTGTAAAAAAATAGATTTCGAATATCATTGTTATATGTTATTGTTTGTAGGAGATGAGTTTGAATAACTAAGCCTTTCTCCATATATTTGAATCATGATTAAATTAATGATTTTTTTAATTGTGTTTCTTAACACATCATCGTACGTTGGGATTAGCCGTTGCACAATATAATAAAAGTACATAAAACAATATTCATGAATCAGTTCCATGAAGCAGGGGCAGTAAGAGCTTAGCAAGTTTAGATTAAAACAGAAGAACAACAACGGTGAAGGGATAAGTCATTGACTGTGAAGGACACCTTAGACCAGCGCTGATCCGTAGAACACAGCTTTTGCATAAAACACAATGTGAAAGAAGAAGTCTTAGGATGTAAAAACAATTAGGAAATTCAAAACAAAGACCACCATGCTTTTGAGTTGTTTGTGTATTTTACCTTTCTCTTTTAGTGTATATTAATTGGTTTAGAAACTTTCAGACCTTCAGAAACTTTTGGAAATCAGAAACATCAGGAAAGTCATGAACTATAGGATTCAGTGACCCCCTTCGGATTTGATGCTTATTACGTGGTCCTCCATGTTTTAATCTCTTTGCACTTTAGTTTGGGTTTTAGTTTGGGGATCATGAGTTTTCAAAGAAAATCACGAACAACAACGTTTGCGTATTATACTAACGATTACATTTATAATATGACGGCTGACTTTTTTAATTCTTTATTGGCCAAGTCAACATTAAGTTGAGGAATTAAAACATGCAACTACAACTTCAGTATTTATATTGTCTTTTACAAATAGTGTGGGAATTAAAAATTCATTTTCCCAGTAAATTAGAGGAAAATTATTTTTTTTTATAAAAGAAATTCAACATGATGTAAATTAAGAGTTGAGCATGAAGAGTTTAAGTGTGTTATATAGTTACTAACCTGGACTTTACCATCATTATCGGGATCTCTTAGGAGCGTCTTTTAATTTAATTAGGATTAAATAAAAATGAAAAATAGCTATTAACACAAGGCCTCTCTTAATTAAGAACAAAACAGACGCCTATTGTGAACCACGCGTCACGGTGAAATCGTTTTGGGAGAAAAAAATCATTCTCAAGGTGAGAAAGAAATCGTCGGTTGCTCTGAATCTTTAACGGCGGTGTTTGTATCGTTCTTCCCACATTACCTCTCTTCTCAATCCCTAAGGTGAATTTATTCAATTTTCTTCCCAGACATATCGAGTTCTCCATCCTTATCAGCACTCAAAGATTCGAATTTGCTTTTGTAAGCACAGAATCATGGCAGCGAACAGGGAGCCGACAATGTATTCGCTAAAAATCATTGCCAAAACTCGCCCTCCTATCCTCAAAATTCGCTAAAAATCATTGCGAGCAGGGCCGGCGTTGGGCAAAGCCGGATGAAACATTAGCCTCAGCCCCCAAATTTTTTTAAAAAATTTACATGTATACTGGCCCCCCAAAAAAAATTTTTAAGCCCCCAAATCCGTAGAAAATTTTTTTTTAGGTGAAATCTTTCAAAAATCGTTTTAGGCCCCATAATTCTCAGAGCCGGCCGATGGCCGTGAATTCCACCATTGTCGGCCTGCCTGTAAAACTCTAACACCCTTTTTCTCTTTTTATAATTTTTTCTTCTTATATCTTTGAATGGAAGATTGTTTCCCTAAACGTGTCTCGAGTTTTGGAGAGCATACCAGTAAGCTCTTTTTTTCCTAGCAGAATATAATTTTTACCTACTGTTAAGTAGTTTTGCGATGAGATAATTCTGTGTTCTTCTTGATCCGAACTGAATTTATGAGTATTTTGGTGTTCATTGGTGTTTTTCAAAAGTTTTATGTTCGCATATCAACATGTGTAAAGTTGATTTGTCTTCTGTTGCAGCGAGGTTTTGTACAAATCAAAATTGGTTTTGAGATTTTGTTTAAATTCCCATGTTTGTTGTTGTTTACTTACTTACTCATACGGGTGAGAAATTTTTTGAATTTTGATGCGCTTAGTTTGTGCTTGTATTTGCTGGAGATATATGGTCAAATGATCACTAGGTTGAGTATTTTTGCTTAAAATTATTACCTTTACAGTTATTCTCAATGGAGAGAAACTTTTGCTTTTCTTGAACAATTTGATAACGATTGACCCCTATATAGTTAATCATATCAATATCGGTCTGTGAACATTTGATGGTTCTGATAATTCAGGTGACTGTGCAGTTGGAACACCATGAGATGAAGTGCCATGTTTCTGTTTCTTTCATAGCAAGACATTAATTTACTAAGATACAACATAAAGTTTTTACCAATAATCTGTATTTTTGCTATTGTCTCTTAACATTGTTTCTTAGTATAAAAAGAATAATAAAAAACTAAGAATTCAATATTTTGTCCCACCAATAATGTTGCTCTTATGTTCTTCAGCCTTCTATGAGGTGCGTTCGGTCTACCCATCCACAGCAGCTTGTGTTTTTTTATTGGGATTTTTCAATGTACTTGTTACCCCCATTTAAACTAAAATGATGGACATGGACATTTGGATTCTTTCTGGTTTGAATAGGTTTTTGAGTTTTCTGGATTTAGAATTAGTGGTCATGAATTTCTTGGCATAGTTAATTGATTTTTTTTATAGCATATAGATTTTCATAGGTTTTAAAAACCGTATATCTATTTAATATATTTATCACATCTTTTCATAGAGTTATCCCTTTAACAAGGATATACACAATCACAATTAAGAGGTCCAGGAACTTTAGGATCGTCAGAACAATATCCAAGGCCGCCTTTGTATCGCTCGGCGCATTCTTTAGCGCAAGATAACCTTATACAGTCTATTCCTCGTATAAGGGTTATTTCACATAGCTTTCCCTCAGCTTTAACAACTATTAAGAAAAACAAGGCATCCATGAAAAAATATAAAATTATAATCATGTACATAGATATCATAATATATTCGTTTAATTGGAAATGAGATACTGAAATTACCTGAGAACACAATTATGAGCACAAGCAAATAATAACATGATAACTTGGCCATGATCAGTATTTTTTGTTTGATGATTTCCGTTACAATGCCTTTGGCGTAGTAATGATCAATATGTGTATATATACTGGTTGCAAGGTTCGGGTGTTCTTTTTTCTTTGTTGACTTTTTATCACATAAAGGAAAAATATTAGCTTAAATGAGAAACATAATAAATATAATTTAATAAATTATAGTATCATAATTCATTTAAAATAGGAATTTGACTATTGAATAAATCACTAGTGAAATAAGTGTACAATAATCAGTCAGTCATCACCTAGATATTATTTGATTTCACACATGTCATCTCTACAATTATTATCGCTAAACAGTATGACATGATATAATATATTAATAGAAGTATAAAATATTTTTTTAAAAATAAAAATATCATCTAACTCTATTTTTATAATTTTACAACTTTTACCACTAAACAATATTTTCAAAATTATATAATTCTTTAAAAAAGTATAAATAACATCATTTGTTTTCTTTTGGTATCTATAAATTTTAGAAATTCTATTTAGTTTTATTTTTTTGATAATTATTAAAATTTATATCAGATATTTTTCTTAAACTTATAGAAATGGATTAATATATCTTAACCAAAAATAATAATTGAAAACCTATCTAAAATTATAATTGTAAATCTCTCTCTCTATATATATTTCTTAAATATAATTTAAATAACTTAATTTTATGTTAATCTAAATTAAAATTTGTACTAAAATATTAGCATAAAATAACAAAATTTAAGATATTAACAAAATTCATTTTAAAATATAATTTAAATTTAAATTTTTTTATTGATGCACATGGTGTAATAAAACACCTAATTTCATTTAAGATGCGAGGTCAAAATTTTGTAGGTTTTATAAAAGAAACTAAACATCTATTATGGAAATCATTTTAATTTTGGATTTTTAACATAAAAACCCCTCAACTAATTTTGTTTTGGGTAAAAACCCCTAAACTAAGTATTTATTGAAAAACCCCCAAAATAACTTTATTTAGTGAATTAAACCCTCGCCGGTCATAATTACCAGTACTACTGGTAAATCTTCAGTTTAGGGGTTTAATCATTAAACATAAAAATTAATAAAATTCAAATATAATAACATTATCTAAAAATTTGTAATTTTAATTTTAAAAACTAGCATTTTTTTAAAAAAAATTGTAACTATATGAGTCTGATTTGTTATCCTTTTAAAATCAAAATTATATATATATATAAATTTAAAATGTAAAAACCAAGAAAATATAAGAAAAATTATCTAAGATTTACCTGTAATAAAAATTATCAAAATTTATAAATATAAAAACAAGAAAACAGAATAAAAATTATATCTTATTTAATAAAAATGTAATAATAAATCTTTAGATGCTTTTTATTATATTTTGGTGTTTTAAAATTTTAATCTATATATATAATATTGATGTTAAAACAAATCAAAATCATATATTTACAGAAAGTTTGCAAAATGCTAATTTTAAAAATTTAAGTTACTAATTTTTAGATAATGTTATAATTTTTTTTTTAGATTTTAAATGATAAAAACCCTTCAACTATGTTTAATATGGGGGTTTACTTGTTAGTTTGGGATTTTTACCCAAAACAAACTTAGTTAAGGTATTTTAGAGTTAAAAATCCATTTTACAAGGATAAGAAATCATTCATATATTTAAAATTTTAAAATGCTAGTTTTGAAAATTAAAATTACGAATTTTTAGATAATGTTATTATATTTTGATTTTTTTCATTTTTTTTTTAATTTTTATGTTTAATGATAAAACTCCTAAGCTAAAGATTTACCGGTAGTACTGGTAATTATGACCGGCGAGGGTTTAATTCACTAAATAAAGTTAGTTTGGGGTTTTTTCCATTAAATACTTAGTTTAGGGGTTTTTACCCAAAACAAACTTAATTGAGGGGTTTTATGTTAAAAATCCTTTATTTTTTTGACAACAAGATTTAAACTTAGTAATGGTCATACCGGTTCGGAAATAATCATTTTAGTAATACAGTATAACCAATTAGCTAAAAGTAATTAATGTATTTTATGTTTTATGATATCTTAGTAATAAATTTTTGTTTGGCCCAAAGAAGGTCTATATAATCTCAGTTCATGCATTTTTGTGCATTAATTACATTTGATTCTGTTTTGTCCATTAATTATGCATTAATTACATTTGATTAATTGCCAAACAAAACCTGATTTAGGATTGTCTAAGTCAAATGTAAATAATACTCCATCTCTTTCAAATTAATTGTCGTTGTAGAATAAAATTTGCATTGCAAAATATGTATCGTTTTATGATTCCAATGATTTTTTTTTATTATTTTTATCTCTTTTGCCCTAATTAAATTATGTGATAAATAATAAATATGATGTAATTCTAATGGTTAAACAAGTTCAAATCTGAACATTTAACTAGTTTTTTAATTTATAATGGGAAAGGAGAGAGCAATATAAACAATTAATGTATGTACACAACCAATAGACAATTAATGTATAAAATAAACACTTTTTTGCCAAGTAAAATATCTTAATGATGTGCATTCTTTTCAGTTAATATTAATGTATTTTTTGAACATATAGAAAGTAACACGCCATGTTATTTCGTATTAATATATTCATATAGAAAGTATCATACATCACGGGACGACATGGGATACCATTCATAATCTATATTATAATTGTGCAATTTCAAGACTCTAATAGTGTTCACGGAAGCATGTTTTGTGGGTCTTATAAAGAGATAAAAAAATAAAAAAATGTAAATCAAGAATCGAACTCAGATTACTTACTCTTTTAGACAATGTTTTTACCACTAGACTATTATGGATACTATATTGTACGTAAATATATTATAATAATACAGTTTCAAAATTCTTAAAAAGATAAAATAAAAAAATGTAAATCAAGAATCGAACTCAGATTACTTACTCTTCCAGACTAAGTTTTTATCACCAGACTATTATGGATACTTGCTATATTGAACGAAAATACATTATAATGATGCAGTTTCAAGACTCTTAAAGATGTCCACGTAGCCGTGTTTTGTGGATCCCATAAAGAGAGAAAAAAATAAAAAAGTGTAGATTAAAAATCGAATTCAAATTACTTACTCTTCAAACAAAGTATTTACTACCATACTACTAGAATACTTGGCATATTAAACGAAAACTAGAGTATAATACCTACATTATTTTATAAATAAAATATTTTAAATTAGGTCTCGTTTAATCTTCATGATTGATCATTAATTCGCTAGGCCTTCATCATCGACTCGACTAACGCCTAGCATGATTTCGAACAGGGCTCCGAACAAGGCATCAGATTAATCTGATTGTTTGTGTTTCCATGAACCAATTTCTCTTACTCTACCTCTATGTCTCCCATTTTTACTCCGTTAATTAATAATGGAGTGCATTCCGCTTATACTTTATCTAAAGGGAGGAACCCTTCATCAGTGATTCTCTCATCCATTTTTCTTCCACTCGAATTTTATTACAACAAGTACTACATTATAAATGACTTTATATTCCACTCTAGTTACTAAAGCCGTTGTATGCCTCTCAACTTTCGATACTTTCTACCTTGCTCGAACTATTCAGTTTATGGTTGTTCGCCGCCACCGCTTATGGGCTTCTCGGATCATAAAAACGAATTTGCGGAAATTAGAAAATATTGAGAAGAACTTTTGAAATTTAACAAGATTACTTGTTGCCGATATATACAGTTTTTTAGAACTTTATTAACTAATACGAAAGACTATAACATGCTATATCGTTTCAGCTTATATGTTAAACGTCAAAATATATAATACAATTACAGAATATATCAACTATGTCCCCGACTCCACATTTGGACGGAGGCTATACCCCTAGTCTCTATAATACTTGAGAATATTTGACACCATAAACTCACTCTGCGTATAACGCCGGTCCATCCTAGTAGATTTTATTTAGATTTATACATTATAAATTCCGGCTAGTTTCCATTGAATAAACCAAATCAATGATTTTGTATATTAAAAATCCTTCTTCAATTTGTTGAATCGACTTATATCTTATATAAGAACAATACATAATATAATAATCCACCATATAGATTCAAGTATCAAGTATATCAATGATCATGTAGTGAATTTAATACATAATAATAATGGATATACAATATAAAATCATTATTCAGAATCAAATTCAGAGAAGAAGAGTTTTATCAAAATTTTTTTTTTTCTTATTCTCCATATTCTTTAAAAGTTATCAGTTACGGCCGAAAACTACCTCAACAATTTATAGAATAAAATCTATAAAAATCTTATTTAATTTCAGATCTCTATTTTCCTAACTAACACTACCCGAATTCTTAAGCATATTTTGATGACCATAACGGAATATATTAAAATAACGGAATATATTTATGTTACTTAGTTATCATTTCGTATATATACAAGCATATTCAGATAGCCATATCTACCATGATTATTTGCATCTTTAACAGAAAAAAAGATAATGCCTGCACACAAAAAAAAATTATTTCTACACATTTTTTGTTCTGTTCAAATTTTCTTTTATTTCAACATTTAGATAGATAGATAAAATCTTATAGCTTAGTCCATTTGGATTTTAGGGTGAATTGCTAAAAAAAAACTCATAAAGCCCAATTATCTAATATAATTTAAACTTGGTTAGTTTAGTTAAAAATCTTTTAATAAATCAAGTGTTACTATAATTATCTTACAAACTCAAATTAGTTATATATCATAATTAAACTTTTAACAATCTAAATACTTATAATAATAATAATGTAATAAATTATACTAATTAAATAACTTAAGAAAGTAAAAGTATAAGGTTCCTTACAAGTATTGATGATTTTAACCCATAAATATTTAACATAGTTAGAAAAATAACAAATATAAATTATGCATAGAAATAAAAATTAGTTTAATAATTTAATGCCATTTTATTAATATTGTAACTTTTCAAACTGAGCATAAGAACT